TGTTGTAACATTCATGCTGTGGTTCCCGCAAGCACTTTCCGCCCTGTTGTGGGTCCATTTCCTTGAAAAATGAAACTTAACCAGGCACTTTGAAGAAGCTCTGACACTGGTAGTCTATGTAGATAATAATGTGGGTTTACACACCCCAGAACTGAACATTTTGACTTCTGAACTTGCATATTCGGCATGACGCTTTGAACTACAAAATCACACAGCAAGGAAAAAAATGGCGGACTATGAAATCCAGTTGGCCGGAAATACATTACCGTAAATGGTAGTTCCGAAGAAAAAACTGTGATGAAATAAACAATGAAACGAAATAAGCAACAGCAGATTTTGAACAAACTGAAAAATTTGGCCCATAAAAATATATAAAAATATCTTTGCAGTAACAGAACAGAATAAATTAATGTTTTCTACACTCCTAGACACTATAATTGCACAAAAATAGTTTATAAATGCAAAAAAAGTGCATTTAGCATGATATGTCTCCTTTAAAAACTAATAATCACAGTCATGCTATCAGTGGTGAAACAAAACTGTAAGCAGAATCTGAATTCATCCGATCAGAGCACTGGGAAAGTGATCAAGCTTCTTTATTTTTGCAGTTACAGCAAAATCTGTTGTATTTTTTGCAGCGCATAGTAGGAAGAGTTCATGTAGCCACATCCTCACATTTGTATCCATTTTTAGCTCAAGCACATTATTAGCTAAGAGATGATAAAAAATTAATTGCTTTTACTTAGAAATCATTTCACAACTTTAACAAGTTCTAAGCCTTCCACATTGCCACCATTCAATAGCGTGATGCTACGACGCTTAAAGCAAAGCAACTTTAATGCTCAGTGTGCATGCGTCTATTTTTACTCTTATCATTTCATTTTAATTCCAAGTGCGTCAAAAACCTGTATTATCATATCAAAGGCATCCTCCTTCACAGGAAGAAAAACTTTCAATGGAAAATATTGCCAAAGGGCATCGTGGCGAGACATCATCAATGAATAAACTACAACATAATGAAGAGAAAACCAATACAAATCTTTCATCTGGGGACATTAAAAGATTTTCTCAGAACATAGGCCATAAATCCAGTGCTTTAGGAAAAAAAAACTGTTCCCTGAAAGAGGTGTTGTAAATTTAAAAAGGGACCCATGATAGCTGCTGGCACAATGGAAATTAAATAAATAAATTACCAGAGGTCATGGTAATGGGTTAATTTATTACTACATTCTTTGCTCTTACTTTTTCTATTACATACACCAATAAAATCTCCTGTATAAACTAACATTTTTTTGTAAGACTGCTGAAAGCTAAATTCTTTTTTGCTAAATTTTCAGTCTTTGAAGTACTGTAGTAAGCCTTTAGGTTGTTAGAAAAAAGCGTGTGACTCAAAAGCTAAAATATTTTTTTATAAATACATCATATACAAGTCAGAAAATGCATAGGGTGAGGGCAGATTGTTTTATACTTAAGACAAAGTATCACACTCTGTTTAAGATCAAAGTCAGGAAACCAGTACTCACCATAGAAAGACAATTTTCCTTGAACTGAGTTTCTTCCCCTGCTGTTTTCAGCCACACATTCATACACCCCTGCATCCTCCTGTTGGAAATAAGGGATCTCTAAAACACCACTGGCTTTATTTATGTCCACCTTCCTGCTAAATGAGACCCCATCCACTCTCCTCCAGCTGATGGTTGGCACTGGGCTAAAGGCAAGGGAAAGAAAAGAACAAAAGCGTAACATGAAAAATAACACCAAAAATTGTTGAGTCTCAGACCTGTTCAAAGAAACATAAAATCTTTGTGAACTACAAGAAGTGATAAAACATGTCAAAGTTCTAATAAACGGAGGCATTATGTATTACATCTTTCTTCTCTGTGTGAACACAGGAACAAGTCACACATTAAAAATACACAGTGGGACATACTTTCCAAGTGCAAAACATTCCAGTTTGACTGTTGAGCTCTTAGCAACAGGAACAACTTCAGGAAACTGCACTTCGATCTTTGGCTCATATTCGCCCATAACACCTGGAGTTGTAAAAGAGAAACAATAAATTGATGCTCCACATCTCTGGCAGGAGTTCTGTCAGCTCTAGGCAAAATCTTGTTACAAAGAAACATATTACAAAGAAAAGCATAAAATGATCTACAGCAGGTTTCAGTACAGTGCAATTTCATGTGGGTTCCAAATAGCTATAAAACCTTTTTTTCTGATTTTATTTTGTAATGTTCCAACAATGGAGGCCATTTTAGCAGCAAGAATAGCAATTTAAAGTACAAATTGGCCCAAATTAAAGAGGTTAAAAAAACTAACTAGATAATTTTTGATAAAAAATAAAACATGAGCTAATCAACGATCACAACGTGAGGCACAGATGAATGAAATTAGTGGCAACAGTTAATAAAATAAACTTTGCTTTTTTCTTTCTGTTTTTTTTTTTTTTTGTTTTGTTTTGTTTTGTTTTGTTTTTTTGCCAGGCAGTCTGTAATTAAAGTTCCTGCACCCGTGGGCTTAAAAGTTCCAGCCTCTCAATTTTAAACTTTGAAACTTATAAACTTTGTTCCTAGGTTTTGCAGTGAGTGCCTCTTTTGTGAAGAGGTGAATCATACCGTCAACCCGCAGGACCAAAGGCGTCAACGGTCCTTGAACACTGCTTTTGGTGACGGTGTTGGTGACTACACACGTGTAGTTCCCCACATCAGAGGGTTCCACCTTTGCGATGTAAAGGTTACCTGTCTTCTGGGACACAAACCGACGTGTGTCCTGGATGACAAACGACGGGTACTCGTTGAAGATCCATGTGAAGGTAAGTTCTGTGAACAAAATCAAAGACAATAGAGCAACAAGTGAAAATTTGAGCAGATTCCTAAATCGTCTATATCCATTTAGAGATAACAGGGGATCCATCAGCAGTCTCATCGCTTCTGTGTGAGTGGATACCCTATGGGATAAAGCAATTAGTGAATTGGACTGAGTGCCAGCCTTCCATGATTAAAAACATAATTTATAATTGAAGAGCACTTACTCTTGCTCACTGTTGGATAAATGACTTTAATATGGTTTAAAGGAATTTATACTTTCATTATATTGAAGTGAGGATGCTGTGTGTATGAATAACTAGTTATTTTCGAGAGAAAAAAAACTTTTTTTCTACTACAACATAGGAATAATAGGATCTTCCCTGCTGCGGTTTATTCGACTTAATGGTTATTTTGAAAAATGAAGAGCTGGGAGATGCTGTAATTAAACAGGCATTTTAAAAAATGTTGAAACAATAAACACACAATGCCTAATTTACAGGGTGAGCCCACTTTAAATTAAGCTTTAAGTTAAACACTTACTTATTCTTGTCATACTCTCTTTTTATGTTGCCCTGATTTATTTTCATTTAGTAGTTTTTGCACTTAAATCTTTTCCTTTGGGGATATGACATCTATTTAAGTTTTAAATATCCACTTTTCTCATCTATTTTTGATTACGTATACATTACACAGTTTCTAGAAGATACTCCCAGTGCTGCCAACAAAATGGAAAGCAGTCAAGGAGGCGTTGCACTAACAAACACCAACATTATATAAAGGAATATTGGTGTTTTGACATATTGACACAAGGATAGATTGCTCTGGACCATGCTGCATCTCTGTCCCAGAAGCAATCTTTGCTGTTGATAAAAAACTTGTCTAAGTGATGACTCTGCACAACAGCACAGAGAATAATTGAGATGTGAGTTGGAGTCATTTATACAGGATTTTTCACTTCTTCCTCTTTAATGGGGAGGAGGATGTCTGGGGTTTGACATGTCATTGCAACCTTGCAAATAACACACTGAGACTGAATCAGGAGAATTTTCCAGTTTAGCTTGTTTCAGTCTTTCTGCTCTGGACATCGGCCGTGTCAGAGACTCCCACCTGTCTGCTGCATCACTTGATCTCACTGCCCTCTTGCTTAAAGCTCATTAGACCCAATCCTGAGGGCTACACTGTGCTAGTCTACCATATCATTTTCCTGTCAGTGCATTCTGTTTGACCTGTGCTTTTGATAGCAATGTTTTTGTTTTTTACATTTTCACTTTGACCTTTTTGTGCCTTTACTGGCTTTGTGTTTTGTGTGTGTGTGTGTGTGTGTGTGTGTGTGTGTGTGTGTGTGTGTGTGTGTGTGTAATGTTCTAAAGACTAGTGTAATTACTATACATGACAAGAATGGTTTCCAACTGTGTGTGAGGGTTTTTTTTTGTCAAATGGAATGACATTGCTGTCCACATTTGAATCCTGCTCACAACTCCCATTTCAATTCATCTTCAACTGATGCAATTCTCCAGGATTTGTCAACTGAATTTTTCCTCTAGAGTTTTAAAGCCCCGTTTCTACATTACAAATCAGCCCTGCTTGTTCCAGCACATTAGTGTGAAGGTGACTGACAGTCTGCTTGACAAAGGACAATGTTCAGTCATTTTCTTGACAACTCTTTTGGTCCTGCTTACCGCTAATCATATGCTAGGTTTTCTATGCATTCAAACAGAATCAATTAAAAAACAGACTTTTTCCTGACTTCAATGCAAAAATGTTATCAAAATCTTGCAAAATTCCTTTTTTTTCTGTTAAGGAGATAAGTGTAGTTTAAAAGCACAGTAGAGCAGAATAAGGCACATATAGGACAGTGCTAAAACCTTAAGTCATTTTCTTTTTAATTTGTTATTAATGAAGCCTACTTTCTAATAATACTCAAAAATTGTCTTGAATAATATTTTTCAGCCTTTCTTAAAAAAAATTTAAAGCCAAGCAGCCAAGATGTCGACTGTGTTGTCTTTTTTCTCTATATATATTTCACATATCTTCTAATCTCTCTTTCACTCTTTCCCATTACATTTTACTTTTCTTCTCTTTTTCTTCTTTAAAAAAAGTCACTGATGATGAAGAAACTAAGAAACTAATATTCAGTTCTGCTTTCTACTGAAGTGGCTAAAAAAGAAAATAAAAGTTTTAAAGAAGTTTTTCATAGAACTGCTGTTTTTTTTTAGTTGTTTTCAGACCACATTTCAGAAGATTGTGTTTCTTGTTTGCTAAATCTTAATCTTCACCTATGACTCATCGAGTTATAAAAAGGCTCCTAAACTCAGGAGAGGAACCAGTGTCACCTCTACGTGCTTTGTTACTCACAGCCAACAAAAGAGAGAATTTGCTTTAATTCTTTTTGAGTTCATTCTTTAAAAATGCCAAAGATAATGCAGCTTGACTGACTTACAAGTATTTTTGCACCAACAAACTGACACCTAAAGAACTCCTAGCAGAAAACTTGTTAAACAATTGATGATTAACTGATGCATCTCTCAGGTTTTGTGTCAGGTATTTTCTGAATTAGGCCTTAAAAAGCCTTCCAGATAATGTTAATTGACTGAAGTTTATTTTAGATGGGCTTGATGCTTCTTTTGTCATCTAATTGCCCATTTTCTTGTCTTTTTAAAGAGACACTGCACATTATGCTGTCATAGACAAATACAAAAACTGGCCATAAACTTGGTGAAAAAGCAGAGGAAATTCAAAGAATTGTTTTAGAAAGTCCTTCTGTAGGCACGAAGAACATAGGATAAGATTTTATTATTCCATGTAAGCAAACAAGGGTATTTCTTCTGAACTTATTTACTTTTCTGTAAAACTAGTCAGATGAAGTTTGAGACACAATGAAAGGCTTTACATCTTACTGTGTCTTTGAAATTCCTGCTACCAACTCCAAAGCTTCTGTGATGTCAACATAATTTTGTGACTTGATCCAACTGACCCACAAATGGAACAGATGAAGTATCTTCCTCCCCCCTCAATAATGTATCTCAGCCCTCATCCTGAGAAGGTCATGTATATTTAATGCCGTCTAGTACTTGAAACTATATCGTTCAGGAGGTGCAAGCATGAAAAAAATAGAACAACAAGAAATAAGCAGTTACTAATTGCTTTGTTAAAGATTCATGAGGAGAAAAAGGAAACAGGAAGTGAAAAAGCACCAATAGCTGTAGTTGACAGACTTGAGAGCCTTCTGTGGATGGGTGGTAATGGAACAACACGATCATGAGTGACAGTGAGTAGCAGATTTTCATTGTGGTTCCATTTTGTCTTTGTATAATGAACAGACAGCATCAATTTCCTTTTAATGATCTGAGGAGTGAAGAGAAATGGAACATGGCGGGCCAAGGACATACTTAGTTAAGAGTGGGTTTATGTAGGAGTGTGGGTTAAAGAAAAGTGTATGCACCATTTGTGCCAAAGTGTACACTTGCAAGCATGTTCCTTGGGTAGTGACAGCCATTAGCCAGGCCTTACAATCTGTATTCATACCAGACAAAAACACCCGATGAAAAGGCTTGGGTCAGGCACACAGTAAATATCGCTCTGAGGTATATGTGATGCCACTAGGCCGTAAGCAGCCTGTGTTTGGGGACAGATGCACTGAATGGACAAAACAAGTGATTTCAGTCTTCAGTGACTCTGAAAGGCCCATTTCCATTAGTAGAACAAGGTCAGGTGCATTAGGTCCTTGACTAACCGCGGTCATTCAGACCACCTCAAAGCAAAATGTGACACAGACTAACATCTGACGCAAACGTAGTATAGCAAGGTTGGAGAATTCAGTTAGAGCTTCTCATGGATACTCGAAAGGATATTTGTCATTAGTCCAACTTCAAAATGCTTTGTAGTTTTGGAGGATCCTGTTGCACAAATCTACTTTCTGCAGAGTTCCTGTTGGTTTTGAGGCACTGTTAATGTGGAATAATGGCTTCTTGAATCATGCATGGAATGTTGGAAGCTTTTAAAAAGGAGATCATATAAACTTTTGTGACTTTTTGACTATGTTACGAATTAGGTCCTGTTATTAATAAAAACATGTATCCTACCTTTCTAATTCTAACAAAATAACTGCAGCATCACAATGCTGCTGTTACTACAGAACATATAATTATTTATGTTTGCACTGTCATGAACAATATTTCTCTAAATTATTATTTTTTACTTCACCGTGAAACTGTGGACAAAAGATTGAGAATAGAGGGTGTGGAAGAATAAGTAACCACATCAAGATAAGCTATTTCATAACTGTGAAAGATCTGATCAGTCTGGTCTTTTTGCAGTTATAATAGAAAACTGGAGATGATCAATCTTACAGCACATCTTTACTTCCTCCCCATATCCATCAAGAAAAATAAATTCCAGTGACAGCTGAGCCTGAGAAAAATATTGAAAGGAAATAGATCATTCAAAGCACAAGGCTAGGTCTCATTGTTGAACAGCTTTGTTTCAACACAACAAGGATGAAAGAGTGTGTTTATTACCAGTCAGCTGGACAAATAGGGGGTTTTGGCTGCATTTCTGTAACATACACACACACACCCCCACCCACACACACACACACACACACACACACACACACACA